GAGGAAATGAAAATGAATGAGACAAGAAAAACAGAAAAGAGAATTAATGAAAAAGAGGATGGGTTATTCAAAACGTTTAAGTAGGTAGAGTGATGGAAAGCATTAAATAGTTCAAAAACTCTAATGACTGTCACTAAATGCACTGCAGTTAAACTGGTATTACTTTTATTGCCTATTTATAGCAATTTTTTACCCCTGCCATCTCCTTCGTGCCCTTAATTCAGTCAGTAATGACCGACTTTCTTTTTCTGGCCTCTTTTAGACCACCTTTATAACTTCCAAAAAAAACTTGAAACAACAGAGTTAGTTTTTTCCTTTTTTTCTGTTGCACTACTACAGATACAATAATTTTTCTTTATAATTTGTTGGAAGAAAAAAATACCATCATTATAAAACAATTGTGGAACCACGTCATAATTTGCAAAGATCTAAGAAGATTGCTGTTTAGAAGAGGAAACAAAAAACCACACTAAAGCACAGTTTTTGATAAAGAATTATTGGAGACATTCATTTTTTGTTCCTTTATAGTTAGTTTCATTGGTAGTTTATGATTGTTCTGACCAAACATTAGAAATAAGTCGGAATAATTAAAATCCAAGTTTTGAAGCATAAAGTGCTCCATTATTTTAGGACAAAATCGTTGTGGAGAGTCCGGCGGTAATTTGGTGTTTGTAAAGACAACAAATTTTGAAATTCACTATTACGATCATACACAATCTGTGGAAGCTCAAGAATCGTTTTGCCTTCAGAAATGCTTAGATTCACTGAACACCTTCTGTCGTAGTGTTGAGTTCAGTCCTACAGAAAAAAACTGTATCGTTAGTGACGAAGATACATTCTCACGAGCGGATCAGCAGGGTCACGTTCAAGGCAAAGATTACTACGAACCAATCTGCGTTGCTGGTAATCATTTCCAATTTCCGTTGATGATACCGGTTAAGCTACAATACTGTAATTCCCGCAGCTAATCAGTAAGATATGGTTGATTTATCGGCTTATGGTAGGGTAAAGTAAAATCTTTTGGAAAAGCCGTATGATAATGGAGCACTGATATTACCACATCGAAAGCAGAAACTTTTAAATTAACAGTCATTGATGCCAAAATTATGTTCTTCTTGCTTGATCATGACTTTAGATCATGATCAGGCAAAAGGGCACTTTTGCTGCTTTCAAATTCTAGTGGACAGTTTGCAGACGTCAGGTCAAATCCATCCCTTTTTTTTCAGGAATTTTAATTTTTCCAACTCACATAACCGACAATTATTTTGTTTGATACTATAGTTGGCGTTATTCCTTCAAGTTTTCGTCTTTAAAATAATGATTTGGGCAAAACACAGACAAATTTTACTGAGTGATAAAAGTGACAATAGTTTTTGCTAGCCGTCAACATAAATTTTGGAAGAACATTTCGGAGATAAGAATCGTTAGCGATGGTTTGCAATACAGATCCCCGCTAGAAATTGTGATCTACGATCATCTAAAGTCACTTTGTCATGAGTTAATTCTTCTTGAACAGGAAATTAATTTTTTGTCTTACATTTGTTTCTTCGACTTTACTGGTAAAACTTGGAGTAGTACGCGATAAAGAAAGAACTTTTCTGGAAAGCATAAATTTAGTGTGAGAATTTCAAATAAACAGGTTAGGAAGCCTTAAATGGAAGAAAGAAAATTTAGATAACAGACGTCAGGGTCAACAAAAACTGTGAGCCCGGTAAAAGTTTAGGGTACCAAATTTTCTAAGAAATTGCAAATGTATTTGAAACCACACGGATACACTCAGTTCGATTACTGCTGTGGTACTGTTTGCAGCGGATCTGAGCTCATCAACCTGCCGGCAACAAGCAGCATTTGAACGTTATATCGGAAGCGAAATTGACGGAAAACCAATTGCAACAGCTCAAGGAGTAACCATATCAGACTGCATCTCATTATGCTTCCAGAATTTGAACTGCAAAAGTATCAACTACGATAGGAAACAGACCACCTGCTACGTTTATTCAGTTGGCCGCCAAGAAGCGACGGTTAAAACCAGTCTTACCACAGATTACTATGAATTTAACTGTGGTTAGTTTTAACCGTCATCTTACCTGCACAGCCAAAAAAAAACCTGAAAACTATTTTAATTATACAGTGAGAAAAGTAATATCGCTTCAGAACTTGATTTATAGAATAATTTTTACCAGTCTTAAGTTTAAAAATTACTTAGGGGGTGGAAAATCCCTCTTATTTTGACTTCAGTGAAAAAGCCACCTGAAGCGAAAAACTTTTACAGTATACAGAAAACGATCACACATGTTCAAAACGGCATACTCTGCTATAACAGCTGATGTAGTGGCTCTTTAGCAAATTGACTAGAAGTCTCAGTCATTGAAAGATCATAAAATGTGCAGGAGACCGCATCACTATTTTAAATTCCAGAATCTCAATTTGGCGGCATGGCGTTGTGCACAAACGAAGGAATCCGATTTATTGTTAATACCAAAGAGCCGTATACTGGCGCAATTTACGCTGCTGAGAGATTTAGCACTTGTTCACAAGTCGTTGAAAACGCTAAACAGATTTCTATCACCTTCCCTCCTCCAACAGTTTCTTCAGACTGCGGAACAGTAATCAAAGCAAGTCTCTTATACTTGATTTTTGCGGACTTACTTTGGCAAAAAATGAATTACAGAAATAGTGTGGGATACCACAGCTATTAACATGAAGACCAATTTAGGACGGTAAACTAGAAGCATTAGTTGTTGTATCCTTAGATGGCGTTTTGCCTCACCAAGTTACCACTGAGTGGGATCGATTTTATCGCGTATCATGTGACATTTCAATGGAGAAAATGATGACAGAAGGATCTGTGGTTGTAACAACGATATTTGATGCAGGGTAAACTATTTTCCAACGGAATTCTTTTGTATGTAGTAAATAACCCTTCCCTGCCTGTTCATTTCATTTTAACCGGTTAAACGCAATCCAACAAAAATGACTAGTCTACTCCATTAGACCTTGAAAAGCTTCATGTTGTTAGACAGCTCTTATTTTAGAGAGGCACAGACTCAGGTGCTTGAGATGGGGACTCCACCACCAGTGACGGCATCATTATCTTTCCTTGATATGAACGACCAGCCGCTGGGAAAAGCCTCAATTGGAGATCCAATTCAACTGGTTGTAACATCAGAGCAAGCTGGACCTCACAATATGAAATTAACAGAATGTACAGCAACTCGTGTTGGCGGCCATGGAGACACCGTCCCATTTACAATCATACAAGATGGGTCTGTATATTAGCAAACATTTAATGATTGACTGAAGCTAGGTGGTGAGAAATTTTAAACAGAGGAAAAAGTGAACAAGTTTTTAAGCTTATAGAAGACCAGCAGGTGATTATCGAACAGGTGGAATCACTGTGACTGACTGTTGACAAATTTCTTCATTACAGGTGTCCCCGATATCCAGCACTTGTCGGGCCTGTTGAACAAGACTTTGAAAAAAACAGGTTGAAATGTGACATGAAAGCATTCCGACTAGACGGGTCTTACGATATTGAAATAGTCTGTCAAGTGATGTTCTGTGCCGGTCCTAAAGGTTGCCCACCAGTAAGTTTTAATTTTTGTACCCCCTATTAACGTATCGTTGAAAAATAAGGAAAATTTTTTCTTCAACTTAAATGACAGAATTTTACATATATTATCGTAGCAGCGAGACACCTACTTAGTTGACAAAAAAATCCAGTTTTATTTTGAAGCCAACATGGTAATAACAATGACGGTTTAGAGCACTTGCCTGGACTCACAAAGTAACGAGGTGTTTATATCTAACGGAAGAAAGAAGAGGAGCGTGGACGTTAACCAAACTGAAGAAACGCTATCAGCAATAATTCGGGTACTTGCAAAAGGAGAAATTGAAGAAGATATAAGTAATGAGACTTATCACTTCAAGTAAGTTCCCTTTGTAATCCATCTGGTTGAACAGTAATTTTACAAAAACAAATTTTGGTCTTGTTATAAGTTCAATAAATTTTTATT